ATAATTCAAAGAGCTTTTATTTAAAACTGCAGTTATCCTAGCTCTATTCTTAAATGAAAAAATTCTAGAAATGGCTTGTATTTGTCTTATTTCCATTGGTCAAGGGGGGGAAAGTGCTTAAAATTGTTGAATCTTAGGTGTACAGATGCACATACATAGTTTGCAAGTGTTCTCATACTGTCCTTCTAACCCTGCCAGTATGTGGCCCAATTATCCTTATAAGGGTCATGGTCACTGAGCCAGTTAAGAGCAGACCCAGACTGAAATCAACATCTCAGTTCCAAAACAGATTTTTACCAAAATATACTCTACCATTTAAAACAGTTTGCTCTACAAAGCTCACATAACTAGGAGAACAGCAGTAATTTTATGATATTCCACTGGGCAAAGAAATAAAATTTATAAGGGCAGATTCAGGTTATACTTCCTTTTCTCCAAAACATCATGCACTTTCTACTGGTAATACTGACAAATAGGATATAAATAGGATACAAATAGGATATAAATTTACCTGTACATCACCTGAAAAGGTGATGATGTACAGAGGGGTTACAATACAAAATAAAGAGGGTATATTTGATGTCACCAAGAATTCCTCCTTTATAACTAAAATTAAACAAATGATACAACTACTAATGATCTTTCATACCGTGCTTAAACAATCAAAAATTGTATCTTGTGAACTGGAAGCTTTTCTCCATGTTAAATTAAGCCAAATTCCTAAACTACACAAACTATGTAGTTACCATCCAGTAGATGGCACTAGCGTTGACTACAAATTTTATTCTTCATCTAAGTACTCTAGCACTTGGTAGAAATTTATTAGGGCTAGACATAGTTGAAACTGAAGATCAGTTCCACATACTATATGGAACTGAATCATGCCATGTATATACTTGTAAAAAAGCATCACGTGGAGGATAATGGTGTGCTCTACAGCAAATTCATGGAATATGTAAACCACAGACATAATATGGAATTAAGGAACAGAGTGGTACAATTTTTTTTATAAAATTATTGAACAACAAAAAAAATTCTAGCCAGGTGGGTGCTGGTGGCTCATGTCTGTAATCCTAGCTACTGAGGAGGCTGAGATTTGAGGATTGCAGTTCAAAGCCATCCCAGGCAGCAAAGTCCATAAAAGCCTGTCAGACCCTTATCTCCAACTAACCACCCAAAAGACAGGAGTGGATTTGTGGCTCAAATGGTAGACCACTAGCCTTGAGCATAAAAGCTCAGGGACAGCATCCAGGCCCTGACTTCAAGCCCCAGGACCAAAAATAAATGTCACTAGGGTATTTCATATGCAAGTCTCTTAAACTTAACACTTATAAATTATTTCCTAGGTCAGAGTAACATATACATCTAATAAACTCCTGGGAGCTCGTGTAGGTAGGTGACTTATTAACAATTTTTCTTCCAATATCTATTTGTCTATACTCAATATATGAACCAAGAAACTGAATTACTCAATCCAGATGCATTTTTTAAGTGTAAGTTAGGCATAAAATATATTTTAAAAAAACAAAAAGCAGACTTTCAAAAACATGTTGTATGGCACCAGTGGCTCATGCTGTAACCCTAGGTACTAAGGCAGTAGAGACCTAGAGAAATCAAGGTTCAAAGTCAGCCTGTACAGAAGTCTGTGAGACACTATCTCAAATTTTAATAAAAAGTCAGGGTGGAGGTATGGCTCAAGTGGCAGAGGGCCAGCTATAAGCAAGCATGAGCCAGAGTTCATGTCCTGCCAGCATGACAATGGTCCTTCAGATGATGTTAAGCTAGATCACTGGATAGTGAGGTATGCAATGGTTCTTAAGATACATTGGCTCAACTATAGTTTGACAGTGAGTCATGGCCTTGGACTGGAATGTTGTTTGGGGAGTCAAATTGTATATCATCTACAAAGACTATAGAAAGTTTCAACTTCTATCAAGTTAAAGTTATCATTTATTATTTCTCAGACTGATTACTCATAGTGGTAAAAAAAAATCTTTGAGTCTACATGTTAAAAGAAAAAAACTGTTAAATGGTTTGTCAGTTTGATTTTCTGTTAAGTCTGTTCCTCAGTCTGTGATGTGCTTTGGGAAACATCAATAGTCCCCATTAGTGAAGAAACTGGAGAAATTTGTTTAGAGCATTTGAATCCACTTTTGTACATTCCAAAGAAAACAAACTTTGAGGCATCAGATAAATATACCTAGAAAGTAAAAAATATTGTTATCTAGCTTCTCACTTAGAGTGTATCACATCATTAATGACAGTGCTGCTTTCAAAGTCCACAGTTTCCTAGGAAGCATAGCTGAATTGTTCATCATTACAACTGCTTTGTGAAATGTGGGACTGCTTAATCACTCCAACTGTAACCACTGTCTGGAACTTCAACATACTCGTTCTTCACCATAGCCAAATACCGGTCCCTATCTTTTCAACTGCCCATACTAGAGAATGATTAATCATCTTTACCTACTAGAAATGCTCATTTTCATCAGGAGATAAAAAGAAGGCAAACTAGATCTCTTTTTTTTTTTAAAGTAATAGGGCAAGGAAGCCTAAGAATACAATTAGATACTGCTTCACAGGATTCCATTTGTTGTGTCTAAACTGCTCCCAAATAAATGAGAGGACTTTAGAATCATATACAGCCTAAAATGCCTTGAAGAAAATAGCCATTATGTTAATGACTTAAGAGTGAAGTCATTTCTGTAACTAAGCTAAACTGTTAGATCCCTTTATAAATGACAAACTTCCAACTACCAGTGGGACCTACCTAAATCTGATCTAAACAATATGTCCTTCCTTAGAAAACTATCTTCTTATACGTTAAAAGTTGCCACATCATGCTGGGTGCTGTTGGCTCATGCCTGTAATCCTAGCTATTCAGGAGGTTGAGATCTGACACTGACTTCAAACAAAGCCAGTCAGGACAGCAAAGTCCATTAGACTCTTTATCTCCAATTAACCAGCAAAAAGCTGGAAGTGGAGCTGTGGCTCAAGTGGTAGAGTATTAGCCTTGAGCAAGCTCAAGGACATACCTAGGCCCTAAATTCAAGCCCCAAGATGGGCACACACACAAAAAAAGTCACTTCACAAATTATAAACTTAATTTTCTACTCACTTCTTTCTTTTCCAGCATCATTCCCTTGTTCTTAACCACCTTGAAAATTAAACATTCATTTGAACTGTTCAATGATAAAAACTTGAAGTGTCACACTCAGAACTACACATATCCAGGATATTAATCTGTCTCAAATTTAAAAGCAAAACTACCATGAACCACAGGAAAATACAAAATTAGTTGGTATATTTAGGAAAATCTGGATGTCCAAATGCTTATGAGAAAGCATACTGCAGCCTTCTATTAAATACTGTTAAGTGGCCTTACACACTTCATCTTTCAGTTTCGATTCCATGGTAACTACCTAATACTTCTACCCTTAACAAGTGGGGCAACCCTGTTTGATCAGGCTTTGACCCACTGGTCTCATAGAAAGAATATGGGGGGGGCTCAATTGTAGTAGAAGGGCACTTCTATACCAAATCTATACCAAATGGTATTTGTTTCACTAGGTGTTGTTTAAACTTATTTCCAAGTTGTCAGCAGAAAGCGCCAGGGAGGAGGAAGGTAGAAACTTTCTTCCTCGTCTTCAGATGATTCTGTCCAAGCAGACAGGAAAGGCAAACATTCACTATGAAGTGTGATTCATTTTGCTTTGTAGTAGTGGCTTACCTTAAGAAGAAAGAAACTTGTTAATAAATAATAAAACCACACAGCAAGATTCCAACAGTATCAATTACAAAAGTACAAAACTTCAATCTTTTTCTACTTATTGTGAACAAGTTAAAGGATCACAAAACTTCCACACCCAATCTGCATATTTGACTGTGGTTTAAGTCAGTATTAATAAACTATGACTGCTTACTTACCAAATATCATTCTAATTACTTACATGGAAGTCTAACTTTAAAAAAGTATTCTGACTTATTATAGTTTCACAATCCAAGGCTTAATAAGGTTTCAACCCTCACAACTTCCCCAGCATCCCAGATGAGAAAATGAAACAAGAATTCAGTCTGGAATCTACACCTGGCAGTATTTCCTCAAACTCCAAAAAACTTTCTTCAGTCACCTTTAACACTACATTCTCTCCAAAGTAACTTCAAAAGAAGTATTGCTCCTGCTCCTACTTATATTTTAAAAGTTAAAGCTACTAGTTTGGAGCATTTTTTGTTCATCCTATTGGTAGTCTTATAAAATATAATCTATCTCAATCCTTCTTTTACACGTTATGAAATGTAAAAAAATCTGAACAGTCACAAAGCCAAGTTACCTGTAACACTTAGTATGAATGAATCAATCCATCGATCATAAACAAATGTTTTCCTATCATAACAAAACCCCAGAACTGGATACTAAAAGCAAACTGAAGCCAGGTGCCAGTGGCTCATGCCTGTAATCCTAGCTACTCAGGAGGCTGAGATCTCAGGATTAGCGTTCAAAGCCAGCCTGGGCACTGAAGTCCATGAGACTCTTATCTCCAACAAACCACTCAGAAAACCAGAAGTGGTGCTGTGGCTCAAGTGGTGGAGCGCTCACCTTGTGCTGAAGAGCACAGGGACAGCGCCCAAGCCCAGAGTTCAAGCCCCACGACAGACCAAAAAAAGAAAAAAGCAAACTGCGACAACTCAGTATTTTGTCTACTACTCAACAATCTCCAGTGGCCTATTACATGCATATTGTTTAAAAACACATGTAAAATAAACTGAACTAGAGGGAAAAAAAACCTGGCACAAATTATACTCAAATTCTATGAAATTTTAAAATGCTATGACTTTATTGTTTGATTTGAGGTAGGAAAAAAAAAGAAACAAAAGTGAAAAAACAACAACAACAAATATAAAAGTAAGAAGTCTCCAAGTTAATGTTATTACAATCTCAAGAAGATGTACAGGTTTCTCCATTGTTGTCATAAAAAAAGAGTAAAAATTAGGTAGAACTGTTAACATTAACACAAGTTTTATTCAAAAGAAGATGTGAACCTCAACAAAGGAAAAAATTTACTAGCTATCCACCCTTATTGTAAAAAGTAAAACTGGGTACCATTTATAACATATAAATTCCACATTAACATTTCTGAATAAAGCTGTAATCCACTTTGAGAGTCATGTAACTTTTGCTTATAATGCTGTGTCAATCAAGTTCCAAAATTATGGCACACACACAACTCCAAGGCAATTACCTAGAATTTCCACTGAAGGCTGAGTACCAGTTAAGTACCAGGATAACTTAAGACTGCATACTGCTACATGGATTCAATGTAAATCACTTCCATTATATTTATCTACAATTATTTTTTAATAATCAGATTAATATATATATATATTATGGTTTTACAACTCCTCCAAACTACATTTTAATATTTAACATGGTAATTTCAACTTAGTATTTAAGGCCTTAGCTTTAAATTTTCCTGCAACATAATCTGCAATTTTAAAAACAAATGTTAAAGAGTACTACATTACAGAAAGTAAATGTACTTTCTTACTTTTATTACATAATTCTGATAAAGAAATTTGTTTGGGGGCAATACAACAAGAATTCTGAATGATTCAGGGCTAGGAAAAATCTTAATAGCAGTCACTCAATATAGTCGGTTATTCCTGGAGTCACAAACACTCAAAAATGGCTATTAGCATTGATCAAGTTTCTGATTTTTGGTGGTTATTGCTTTAGTTGGCAAATACCTGAATTTAAGACACCTAGAATATACCCCATTAAACTTTGTCAAATATTACAAAAACATATACAGAAGATAGACTCATAGAGGCTATAAAGCTTGATATCTCAAGTAACTCACCCTTAACATGGGTACAGATTTTTTTAAAGAAGATATCCAATAATTCTTGCTCTAAAATAAATGCCCCTAGTTTTCAGAGTGCTCTTACTGTTCAATAGGATACTTGAGTAGCTTAACAGTTTTGCTATAAAAACCAACCACTCTTCTTAAGAAACCAAAAATGTAAAATAAAGGACATATTTTTCACAGTTAATGATAAATAAAAGTGCAATAAGTGTTCAAGTAGGGCACGTAGTTCAAAAACTACATGTGACTTTTTGGCATAGGTCATCTTTTAAAGGCTCTCCGAGGATCCCTGCCATTACTTATTGTGGTCATAACTGTGTGATTATTAGCTGCTCCTGATAGCTGTGGATAGGTCGGTCCCCGGCCATTGCTTCTACCAGAATAAGAAATTTGGTATCCCCTTGATTCGGGGCCAGTTTGAACACCATTTCCTAAGAAAGAATATAAAAAGAAATTATCATTTTCTGAAGTGGTCTACAGTAAGCTATAGAAATAGAGAAATCCCAAACATGAAAGTCCCAAATAGAAACTCCATTATTTTTACACTGAAGAAAACAAGTGGGCTACATTATCACTGTAAATACATAAACTTTGCAATATATTAATACAAAGGGGAAAAAAGGCCAAGTCTGGCAATAAAATTAGAAATACAATTAAAAACAAAAAAAGCAGACATATAACGAATATAAATGTAGAAGAAAAAAGAATAGGAAAAAAAAGCATTTATATATATTGTCATTTGACTCAGAAGGTTAATGTTTCAAAGCAGTCAACATAATCCTAACTTTTTTTAAGCAGGCAGAAGTTTCCAATGGAAACTTTGTGCCAAGTATGCCATTAGGTCAAATAAAACATAAGCTAACCTAATGAACTCTAGTCATAAAAGACTTATCCCCAGTTAATTTAACAAAAGTTTCAAAAACATCTAACAAAGCTCCAAGCACAATTACCAGAGGCCTGAGGGGTAAAGGCTAATCTTTTAAAAAGGCAGCTAACAGTATGTTAAAAACTGTGATATTTAGAATTGTAGTTCTAAAATTAGTCTTTTAGTGAACTAAAGCAATCAGCAATACTCCATCTATTGTAAGTAATCACTAGATTAATTTTATAAAAGCAGAAAAATAACCAACCTCTTTAACAGATATCACCAAGATTTAGAGTTGGTTTTATTGTGCATCAATGTATTCCCAATAATAGACTCAATTGCTTAGACAACAATGTATTCAATAAATTGGCTTGCAAGTGTATCTACCTTCTAGAAAATTATTGGGGTATTCCGTATATTGGTAGGCCTTCTGTAATCGTATTTTTTTTTTGTCTAGAGGTGTTTTTCCTTCCTAGACCTCTTTCCTAATTTGTTTAATTTCTATGCTTGAATACAAACATAGGAAACCAAAAAACTTACCCACTGATCCAAATGTACCTGTATTCATATTACTATTCTTCTGCTCATTATGTACCTAAAAAATTTTTATTGAGTTAATCAAATGAAGTTAAAATAACACACTTAAGACATTTAAAATGATCATATCCTTTTATAGTTGTATTGCTTTTAAAAAAAATTGTTTTTAACCATTTGAAAAAAAAATCTGGCCAGCTGGGAATGTGGCTCAGTGGTAGAGTTCTTGCCTAGCATGCATGAAGCCCTGAGTTTGATTCCTCAGCACTACATAAAAAAAGCCAGAAGTGGTGCTGTGGTTCAAGTTGTATAGTGCTAGCCTTGAGCAAAAAAACTCAGCAACAGTGCCCAATCCAAATCCAAGAGTTTAAGCCCTAGTGGCCAAAAAAAAATCTGTTCAAGACCACTCAATGTTAAAATGTTCAGGAATTATCCCCAAACCTGAAGAGTTTCTGTTACAGTCTGTATTTCCTGTATTACTTGTCACTTTGCAAAGTGCTAAATGAAACATTTATCTGTGGTGTCCTAAGCTACAGACTGTCAAAACATACATAACAAAAAAAAATAATTAAAGGACTTGTTAAAAAATATAATTCTCTTCATATACTCTAGGTCTTATACAGTCTGGTTATAAAATTACTGGCCACATTGTTCTAATAAAAAATATATATGTATATATACAGGCTAATTACCCCTTGGTTCTGTTGTCCTCGATAATCTGGGTTAGGCTCACTGAAATTTGGTACTTCTGAATAAACCATACAAAATCTGAAAGAAAATAAAGGACAAGTTAAATGACTTCCGTAAGTCATCAAACTTTTTTTGTGAAACATTCCTGACGTATAGGATTGGAGGACTTAGGTATCAATGAAATTCGTTAATGGTAACATGGTAGATAATGCTATTTATAATAAAACTTACATCAATTATTACATGACATAAACATCAAGTATTTAACACATAGCTCTATTTGTAAATTATTCTTTTGTACTGCAAAATACTGTTAAAGACCAAAGACACCAAAAGGTATCTGTATCTGGTTTGTCCACAGAAGACTGATAAAATGGTTTAATTAAGGTATAAGTGATTTTTCTTCAGGAGTGGTGATGGATTTGCCCTGATCCATTATACACATTCATTCAATCATTCTTTTGGTCAAACAGGGTCAATCTACAAAGACAACCATCAAGATTAATAACTGATTCTAGGTGATAGAGATAACAGGCTAGCCACAAGATTATCCTGGAGCTTCTTTTAAAAGGACAATATGATGAGTATCAAGTTTACTCATAAGCATCTGCTTAGCTCCTCAATTCACTTAAAAAGGAAATACAAGCCAGATGCTAATGGCTATAATCCTGGCTACTCAGGAAGCTGAGATCAGATGTCTGAGGTCCGTAGCCAGCCCAGGCAGAAAAGTCCATGAGACTCTTACCTCTAATTAACCACCAAAAAGCCAAAAGTAGAGCTATGGCTCAAGTGGTGGAGCACCAGCATTAAGCAGGAAAAGAGGAGGGGAGGGCACCTTGGCTCTGAATTCAAGATCTAGTACTGGCACCAAAAAAAAAAAAAAAAGTACAAACTTTTGGGAAGTTCTAAACTGACTCTGACAAAGAGCAGCCATCAAATAAATAATGAGAGACCCCTGTAGTTCTTCACTTAACTGAACCTACATTACAGTAAGTATGGCTAGGTACCATAATACTGACCCTAAGACCTTTTAGAAAAAGGGTCTAACAGCACTAGTACAAATATAAACATGAATGGATTCTAATTTTCCTTCTGGTGAAGGTGTCAGTGTTCAATGGAGTTGCTGATCTAGATTGTGTCTTTCATTACTGACTGTATTCTTTAGACAAAGTACCTCACCTCAGCAAGTTTTCCTTGCTTTTATTGTGGTTTTGATTTTTACTTGGGTACCGTTTGTTCCTTCTCTTTTTAAAATATCTCCCAATTTCACGGACATTAAGGATAAATTAGAATAAAGTAATGATCTGGCTCACTGCCTGCACCATACTTATGAAAACAACCCCATACCTCTAGGCTAGCATGAAGGCTGAAATTACCTTTACACCCCTAGAGAGGACGGATCCTCCAGGTCAGGGTGGAGATCATTACCAAGGTGGCAGTGTATGGGAGCCCGCATTGTGGCTGCCTGCACCACACCTAGACCGTGAATAAATATAGGACTTCAGTTTACATTGCTGCAAGTCCTTTTAACAAGAGTACAAATTCATCCATACATACACAGAGAAAAAGAAAATGTAAACCTGTGGGTCGAAACTCAGCTTGTTTTGGTTAACTGCAGGAAGAGAAAAACTACCTCAGATGAGGCTTGAGCAAGAAAGCTTTCTAAAGTCTACACAATAGTCCCACGGGGGCTGGTCTCCACTGCTGTGTCCGATTGCTCTTTGCCAGGACAAACAGACATTCTGACGTTCTCAACACTACAGTACTGACAGCTGTTAAACTAGTACGCGTATAAATACAATACGAGGCTGTCAAAGTCAGCTTACCCAGCCCCTTCCCCCTAAAAAGCCAAGAAAGCTTTCAGTGTATAGATTATACCATATACCTACCAGTTAAGACATGATTTATGACTTATTCAGTTATATACTTACTCCCCAATTTTTTGAAGTTCACCACCCCTTCCAGTATAAAGCGTCAGACATCCTTTCCACATAGATGCATATCTAGAGAAAAAAAATAGGTCTTCAGAAATATGTATTATTCTACTTAATACATATTTTTTAAATGAGGTAGAAGTGGAAATCAAATCCTGAATGTATTTATCACTAATTCAAATACAAAGAATCTAACTTTTACTTGCTACTTACAAAAAAGTAATACAAAAAAAAAATTCTACTGCCAAATTATAATGCAAAAACTAGAACCCTAGAAATAACAGCACAAGTCTTCATAAGCCAGGCATGGTAGCACATCCTTGTAATCCTAGCACTCAGGTGGTCATAAGAGGATTCAAGTTCAAGGTCAGCCTGGACCAAACAAGTGTGAATCCAAGGCCAGCTTAAGCTACATAATGAAACCTTGCCAAAAAAAAAAAAGTCAAACAGGAAAGTCTTCTTGCAACTTACCTCTTCATAACGAAGAGTGTTTAATTGCAGAAATTGAAGTATTTTTCTTAATTTTTACTCACTGACACATCCAGTCATTCAGACACTAAGATTAAGAGTTTTTCTCCAGATCTCTAAGACACTTACTACTGAAAATTTGGAAAAATTCAGTAAATGCTTTGAAAAACAAACTGAAGTCACAAATCTTTTTGCCACTTTTCCCAATTTCCAACTCATTCAAACCTGGCTGAAAAAAGTATTTATTCTCAGCAATTTGAGAGAAGATAAACATCACTTAAACATAATAACCTTACTAAAGGAAATATAACCAATTTAATAAAAATCAACGCAAGGTTTGGTTTTCAATGGTTCTCTGGACAACCTCTATGGGAACTCAATAACTTACAATAAAATATTGTTTAACTCAACATAGTGGTAGTTCATCTATAAATACAGATTAATAGAAACCTGCAGGCATATTGAACTAATATTTTAATAAGGGTTATTTATTAAAAGACTATACTCACCATTCTCAAATCATACAAAAAGTTACCCAGGATTAACTCAGGTGCATTAACATTTCAAAAAGTAATGTTTTACTTTTGTACTTACAAATGTAAATTTTAATGCATATTCTGAGGGAAGAAACTTGAATACTTACAACAGAAACATTTAACTTTCTCATGTTTAAGGGATGAGAACACTGATCAAGTTCCCATGGCTTTACAGTACACATGCTAGCATTCAAACCATTAAGTAAATGTTAGGTAGGCCTTTTATCCAGAGATGTTTTTCTTAGAGTTAACCAGAATTTAAAGGCCTTACAGTTGACTACATTCCAAGCAGTGTTATTTTACTAAGTAATGTACAATTATTCCCATTTTAATTTTACAGAAGGGAAAAGGGAAACCAAGTGTATTAACTTCCTAATTCCCAAGGTCATACTGAAATTAGTAAAGAGAACTTCTCTAGGTTTGAATTTCCCTTTTGAACCATAGTCTTTGGTAATTGTGCTCCTTAAACGTTTAATTTTTGATCAATGCTTTGATGGGAATATCCACAACTGTGGCCACAGAATACAAAATATTTGAAATGAGATGCTGTTTTCAGTTTAACAGTTTTTAGCTGGGGGCCCTTGGTAAGTAGCTCACACCTGTAAATCCTAGTTACCCAGGAGGCTGAGATGTGAGTTACCCAGTTCAAAGCAGGAAGGTCCACAAGACTCAGCTCCATTAACCACCAAAAAGCCAGAAGTGGAGCTGTGGGTCAAGTGGTAGAGTACTACTAGCCTTGAGCAAAAAAATCTCAGGAACAGTGCCCAGGTCCAGAATTTAAGCCCCACGATCCACATAAAAAAAAAAAAAAAGTATGGTTTTTGATCCCTGGGAGAAAAATACTTCAGAAGCAAAAAAAATGTTATCAATTATGTTAATCCTTACCACACCCTCCCAGGGAGGAATTTTCTTTTTTGTCACTTAAAGATGTGGAGGTTTAAAAGATGTAATTAAGGTCACAATGAGTCAGTGTAAGAGAATACAATGTCTAAGTCCTGACTCCCACTTCCTGGTTAGATACTTTACCTCACTTCCTGAAGGTGTTTGTCCCAAGGCCTGTATGACACTATCTTACGCTACCTTACAGGAGCTCCCATACTCAGAACACTCCAATACCTCTTAGGTTCTCTTTATTCCACCAACATCAATCTCCCCTACTTTACTAATCACCACTTTTACATTATTACAATTCTATTGATCACAAAAGCTTCCTGACTGTATTTCCTAAATTATTTTCTGGTCTTTCCAAAAGATTTGGTAGTCAATAGTCAATTTTTAAAAAAGGAGAAAAAGTGGGATAAGGGATAAGAAGAGGTAAGAGACAGATAGGAATGTATGGAAATGTCCAAATCAAAGTCCCCTTAACCAATGTAGGCTAATAAAAAATCTTAACTAAAAAAGTTAATTTTTTTTCAAAGCCACAGATCTGCCAACTACAGTTTCTGAATGAAGGTATCACAGGGGTCCTGCTGCTGAACTTTTTCTGCAGTACTGTGTTTTGGTTTCATACAAAGATCTTAAAACAGAAGCAATCTTTTTCAAGATGAGTCTTCCAAATCCTATCAACTTTTTTCTGAGTACAAATCTGATTATTAACAAAAAAAAAAAAACCACCTAAATTTCCTCAACTATTTTTAGTTCATCTAAATACAAAAAACAACCCCCGCCAAAAAAAAACAGGAATTTCAAGCCGTTAAAAGAATTGAACAACTAATTTAAGTGTGGAGCACACCAATCTACTAAAACAACTAAACGACTCCCCAGAATAGTTTTGTAAATGTAAACTCGTGGGCGGGGTGTTTCCTGCCTGAAACCCCATTGTCAGTAGGTACAAGGAGGTGTTGGATCACCACAAAGTTGACACAAAAGTGGGGGGGGAGGGACAACTTCTGGAGAGTTGGCCGCATTGAAGTCACCCAACTTCAGAAGCAGTCGGGATGCCCGGGGGGGGGGGGGGGATCAGGCAACTCGTACCCTTCACTCCTCCCCCGCCCTCCCGCTGTGAGCATACCTACCCTCGGGTCAACCGTATAATATCGCCTGTCTGTATGAGGCTGCCGACCTCATCCCACACGGAGATGGTGATGCTGCCCGTTTTATCAGCTACTTTGCACGATCTCACTTCATGGCCATCTTTGGTCTTGGTCACGCGTCCTGTGAAGATTGAAAAAGCAGAAGGGAGGGCAGGGGGTGTGTGAGATCACCGAGCAGGTGCCCTCCGTCCTCCCTCTCTCTATGCTCTCCCGGGGGTAAGACGTCTGCCAGGTGGACGAGGTGGAGCCGGGCTTCCCCCCGCGAGTCCCGGATCGGAGCTCACGTGGGCGGCGGGGTGGGGGTGGGGGGGCCCGGCTCCCGACGGCGGCGGCGGCGGGCAGGTCCGGCCCCGGGGAGCGCACCGGGCCGGTGGGGTGGTCTTGCTGACCCCACTTACCTATCTCCAGGACAATAAAGACGACATTTAAGTTTTTCAGTCCGGCCTTAATATCTTTTATAAACAGAGGCGGGTCGTTGACCCCGTTCATACTGAGGCAGTGCGGGCTCGGCTGCGGAGACGCGGGCGGGCGGGGGCAGCTCCCCACCCTCCCGGGCCCGGGGCGGGGAGGAGGGCGACCCTGGGAGGGGGGCGGCGAGAGACGGGGCAGAAGGCAGTTGTGTCAGGACCACAGCCAGGGAGGCACTGGGCCAAAAAGCAGAAAAAAGGAAAATGCGTCAAACAAGAAAAAGGATGGGGGGGGGGGGGGCGCTCACAAGTTCGAAAGGAAAAACAACCCGGACCAGGCCGGACGCCGGCCCGCTCCGACCGGCAGCCGGCCGGAGACGCCGCGAGAACCGCCCCGCGGGGAGAGGGGCTCAAAATAAAGAAGAGGGAAAAAGACGGCCAAGGGACACCTCTGCCCTACGTCCCGCTCACACACGCACGGGCGCGCGTCCCGGCGGACCCGGGCTCCGCCAAGGGACGGGTTGTGACGGCAAAACCTGAGCACCGAACACGGTCTCCACGCACGCCGCGTCCCCAGCAGCGACTGCCCAACGCGCCCGCCCGCGCGCCGGCTCAACTCCCGGGAGGCCCCGCCTCCTGCGCGTCATGACGCGTAGGCACGCCTGCGGCCACGCCCGCCGATCGGCTGGACTCCCCGGAGGCTCCGCCTCCTGTGGCGTCACGACGCGTCGGCACGCCCGCGGCCACGCCCGCCTTTCCGCCAGGCCCTGAGAAACCCAGGGGTGGGAACAGATCAAGGACGTTAGCTCAGCCTTCCCCAGCTCCTCCCCCGGGGTGAGCAGCGCGGGCCCCGCCCCTGTGGCCTGCCAATTCGCTCTCGGCCCCGCCCCCTCCTCACGGTGGCTTCCTGCCTGGCTTGGCCTTCTTCCCTAGGCTTCTATTACTCTTAGTAGGATTTCCGGGAGTTCTTCCTTCTTTTTCTTGATCAGAACTTCAGTCTTCCGCCGTTGCCCTGCAGTCCCGGGAACGCTTGGGGTTTATTATGCAGTGGGTACAGAAAGCGGGCAGTCGATGAGGAACAGGGTTGGGATGGGTCGGTGGGTGCCGGCTGGCGTTGTGCTCCCCCCCTTACTAGGCCCGTTAAATTGGGGTCCAGGAAGATGGGGCAGTTCGCTGGAGACCATTCACCAGCTTGTAGAACGGCAGGAACTTCGACCCTAACCATCTGGTCTGGTCTTCCACTTTTTCACTCAACCCTTCTGATTTACACTTGTGCAACTGAGGGAATCGATCATACAACGAGGAACCCCGAAATATAACCTGAAGGACAGAAAGTGTTTTTTTCTTTTGAGGGGGAGATGAGAGAAGAGAGGGGAGTGGGGGAGGGAAGAGGTAACTGGTCAACAAGAAACATACTCATTGCCTCACTCATGTAACTGTCACCCCTCTGTACAGCATCTTTACAATAAAAATTTTAAAATAAAGAGTTTTAGGATACAGAAAAACTAGTTGAGCTATTTACTAGTTGTGCGACTTTGTTTTGTTTTGTTTTTTTTCAAAGTTTCACAGTGATTTCATTGGAAATGCTCTTCTCACAATTGAGGAACCAATTTGTTTTTGGAAGTCCAGGTCCAGACCTTTTGAAAAGGACTTTCAAGTCATTGTTTACTGCATGTCTTATCTCTGAATATTTAACTCTCTAAATAAGTTGATTTTACGCCGGCCCGGCAGCTCACGCCTATAATCCTACCTACTCAGGAGACTGAGATCTGAGGATCACGGTTCAAAGCCAGCCCTAGCAGGAAAGGCCTTGAGACTCTTATCTCCAATAAATCACCAGATAACCAGAAATGGCGCTGTGGCCCAGCTAGCCTTGAGCTATAGAGCTGAGGGACAGCGCCCAGGCCCAGAGTTCAAGCCCCACGACCGACAAAAAAATAAAAAATTATTTTCACCATCTAGCCATTCAAATAATATTTTTCAAGTATCTACTTTGCAAGCTGCATCTTTCCTAGACTGTGCAGCAAAAAATCAGATAAAAAATTATGGTATTCACATTCTAGTTGAAGCAAGGGTGGGAGAATCCAAGTTTGATCTCTCCCTAGTGGGGAGACAGTGTTTGTCCGAAAAGCTAATTGTATAAGTGCTCAGTGCTTTGGAGAAGAGGTCAAGGGAGAGGAGGGAGTATATATGGGGTATACAAATTAGGATGGTAGGATAAAACTTTTATTTTTAATTCATTTGTTACTGTAAAGGTGATGTACAGAAGGGTTACAGTTATCTAGGTCAAGTAATCAGTGAATTTCTTTTTGAACAGGGTCCCCTCTTCCTCATTTTCTTCCAGTTTTTCTCTCCCCCACAAATTATATAGTTCATTTTCAACATAGAGTCTAGTGAGTTATCACTGCTGCATTTGTCCACCCTTTGTCCCACCATTTCTGTGCTCTCCTTTACCCTCCCCCCAAAAGATAAATTTACATACAAGACAAAAGGTACAGAAATCAAAAACAGCAACAAAGGAGGGGAAAAAAAAACAAGAAGCAAAACAACATAAAACCTTGTTTTATTACCTTGTGTAACTGTAACCCCTCTATACATCACCTTGACAATAAAAAATAATAATAAATAAAACCTTTTGTTTCCATTTTTTGGAGTTCACATCCATAAACACTTTACCTGAAAAATAATCTAGCAAATCAGAAAAAAAAGTAGGATCCTGCTTTATAACAAGTGAAATAGAATAAATTGTCCAACTAGTGCCTAGTAGACAGTATATAGATGCTCTTTATTTTCCTCTCATCTATTTTCTACTAAAGAAAAAAACTAATGAGCTAACATTGTTTAATCCTCTCATCGACTTTATGTTGATGAGTACTGATTTTACCTGTAAGTAAAATCAGTAAGTAACACTGTGAATAACTCACCAGAGTTACTTCATCACTAAGGAATGGCCAAAGTGGGTTTACAACCTATGTAATTGTGACTTCAAAGCTTTTCCTTCCTGGAACTACTGTTTAGATGGAAGTTCAAAATAGACTGAAGAAATAAGGTGGCAGCACCAGAATATATTGTAAGATTTTAAAGAGTCACCTAGTTAACTGGTAGCAGAAATGTTGGGGAGAGTGTCAGAGAATTTGGATATCAGAAGCATGCATGTATTTTTCTGAATATTTTTCATGAGCCACAAATTCCTAAATATCTACAGACAAGTAACATATATTGCCCTAAAAAACAGTTTTTTCAAAATAAATGCCATGTTAGCAAGACAGTCAAGACATTCTTAAGGAAGTGGAAGCTTTAATTTCATAAACCAGTAAGACCCAGAGTGCCAAAGATACTGATACAGCACTGGAAAGTGGCATAGAGTAATATTATAAGCATAATTTCAGCATCAAATGAAAACATTTCTGTTAATGGCAGAACCAATGGCCAAAATCATGGTTTTCAAAGACGCCTGACAAGAACTCCCATTCATCAGGATTAACTTACAGTCACAGTCCTCAAAACTATATATTTTTTAATGCAGACAAAAACTCATAGAAGCAATATTGAAAACAAGCCTTTTTTCCTTTTAAGTTTGATGAGCTTTTTAAAAGGTTAATAGACGAAAAACCACACTGAGAATGTTGAGCAGAGTCATGGCCAGAGTTTGGTCAAAGATAGTAAGCTACTCCCTAAATTCTCAGCTATTTGCCCCCATATTTAATTGGATTAAGTATGGCGACTCACACTAATTACACTGACATTTTCTAAAGAGGAATTTGACACTTAGGAAACCAAGTACTGCAAAAGCAGAAGGCAGTGCTGAAAGCAATAACCCATCTCCTCTCAGTTCTCCCTCCCCCGGGACAGAACCAGCTTAATATCTACTTCCTTCCTCACTTGGCAATTCTCAGAAAGGAAGTGGCAACCACATGTTTTCTCATTAACGAAAACTAAAGACAGCCTTGACAACATATGGTGGGCAGTACAGAAACTCTTCTATTCATGTTATTTGACTTTCACAACTCCCAAATTTCATTTTTCAAAACTGATGGTTGATAGAAAGAAAATAGGGGCTACCAACAAGTCATATTGCTACCCCCAACAAGCTTTCTTAACATTACTCTTCAGTGAAATGAAAGCATATCACTTAATTTACCAAGTTAGTTTATAATGAGCATACTGCTGGTTCTTTAGCATAGTCATAAGATTATTTCCCAATCTTCTTTCAAAGAGCTGTTTGGTCTACAGGCTTTCTTCATTTCTTAGGGCCAAAACAAACTTACTGAGATGGTGGACTCTTATGTAAGTACCTCAACACAACTCTGCAAGGAAGTGTTGCTTAGTGAGACCTAGAATGGTACAGGAGGGCAATCATTAGAATCCTGGATATAGAAGTAGCAGTCATCTAGATTCTAAAAGTTTCCAGGAAATTATGTCTAGCACCTTGTATTCGTGTTCACTCCAGGTTTTGGTTTCTAGGATTAGGAATATCATTTGCATTTTGTTTGTACTGTTCATCTATTTTAAACCATTACAACACAACATCAATAACATGTAAAATGTTGTAATAGTCTTAACTTATAACAAGACTGTTAGATATTACAGGGTTTGTATGAAATCCAAAAAAATTTAAAAACCACAGTATCCTCACATTACAGAGATAATCCACTTTGTAACATAATTGGCAAGGTCCAAAAAAGATCTTTTTTAAATCTTTGTTAAAAGATTTAACAAAAAGTCAGAATATTTAGTAATGATTTCTTCAGCAGCTACAAAAAGTATAATAACAAATGTTAAAACATATTAAACATCTTAATATATTGCTTAATAATATGTGTAAAAGGCCCCAGCTATGAGCTGGGATTTAACACTGATACATGTAAATACTTTTTCTACAAAAGAAAATGTTCTAAAAAGTACATTTCTTTCATTATCTAAATAGGGCATTGGATTTTTCAAAAGCTTTATAATTCACTGTGATAAGTGCAGAACATCTCATCCCCAATGACTGATTGTTGTGGGAACTGTAAAATCCACTTGTGAAAAATAACTTCAGAGTTTCTCTTTGAAAGAAATGCTTCCCTACCTGGGTTCCACACAAGCCTGGACAAAAAACCCACAAGGTCTCATCTCAGCCAACACAAAAGCTGGGCATAATAG